CCCCCCCCCCCCCCAACCACACAGATGGCATGATACATCACACGGCGTATGACCGTCTTTATCGTGCCGAGATATATCCTGTCTAGAGCTGGTAAGTACCAGTCTGTCCGGGGATATAGTACCGATTTGGACATCCGGCAACATAACTGTTGCTGCAGACCGGAATTTCCGAAACGTTTTTTTTCACTGCGCAGAACTCTTTTAGCGCAGACGCCAGAAAATGCACTTTTAAAAAAATCAGACCACACACACCTGTTCACGTGCCGCCAAGTCGAGCCAAAGTGAGCTCTTTGGCGGGAATCGCCGGTTGGAGGACTTTTCAGCGGACCCACCAACATGTCTGCTGCGAAAAGCGCTGCCAGCAGACCAAAACGCAAGAATTTGACAACTCGGAGAAAAAAGGCATGGTTGCCGAGCTGCTCAAGGGCAGCAACAACGGGGTTTTGAGCCATATTGCCGGATATCTCTGATATCCCGGGGATGACATTCCAGCATCCCCGGTTATCCCATGACATTTTTTTTTTGGGGGGGGGGCTTCGTACGTCATGCAATGACCATGGACGGCGATAGAGCGATTTCGATCACCAAAATAGCCCTCTGCGCTTCAATAGTCCAAACCGGAACTATATTGCCGGATATCCAAATCGGTACTATATCCACGGACAGACTGGTAAGCTTTGGCTTTGGATTGAATTAATTCAACAAAACACACGCCACACTTGTCTATGATTTCGGTATGGTGAACTCGGGTATGGTATCGTGGGTAGTACCAAAACTACCCACGGGTAGGGTATAGCCGCTACATAGCTGCAGCCTTGCTCGATATGGACGGGCCTTTCGTAGTTGCCCAGGCTATACAGGAAGGAGTCCGCACGGGATCCTTCCTGCTGGTAGCCGTCACGCGCCTTGAACGCCTCGACGGCGTCTATTGTGGCCTGCGGTACGTCGTACTCCGCTCCGTTTTTGTCAAAGACTTTCGCGGGTGCGTCGAGCTTGCGATGTGGACCCCCTTCTGCCGTGGCTCCTTGCTCGGCGGGTGTAGATGATGCACCAGCATCGGGAGATGCGGCGGAACTACCGACTGCCTCATTCATCACCAGTGGCTGCCCCGGTACCCGAGGGTAGAGGGGACGGGTGGAGAGTAGCGAGAGCGCTGTGGGGGATCGGGTAGATACCAGGGTTCCACCCGAGTTCGTCTCGGGTAGGGTACCGACTGTAGTACAAAAGCTACCCGCGAGTCGGGTAGGGTACCCACAGCAGTACAATACATAGGGTAGGGTAGGGTATCGAGAGTAGTACCAAAAGCTACCCGAGTTCGTCTCGGGTAGGGTACCGACAGTAGTACAAAACCTACCCGCGAGTCGGGTATTACCCGCGAGTCGGGTAGGGTACCCACAGCAGTACAATACGTAGAGTAGGGTAGGGTATCGAGAGTAGTACCAAAACCTACCCGAGCGTTGGGTAAGGTATCGAGGGTGGTACAAAACATACCCGCGGGGTAGAGTGTACCCGACAATGAACCCTACCCGCCCGGGCAGGGTACCGGTCAAAAATCCGTACTTGTACCAGGTGCGGGTAGGGTATCGAAAGTTATACAAACCTACCCGAGGTGTCGGTTAGGGTGTTGAAGATCCTACAAAAGCTACTCGAGAGCGGAATACGCGCGGGTACCGGGTAAATACCCGAGGGTAGGCTCGGGTACATGCCCTTCCAAAAGCAACCTTGGAATTCCTTGTGCGACATGTACAAGCCACACTTCTCTTTCATTTAGGTTTGTTTTGCGCGTAAATTATGCCATGCATACCGGGCGGCAACAGTATGAGCAAAGTGCGTGCGCATTTGCATATTCTCTTCACCGTGGGTCTCGGTTCATTTACAGACTGATGCGAGATGGTGCGACGTAGGCAGCCCTTCAAGGGCGTTCCCACTTCAAGGGTGTCCCCTGCCTTCTGCATTGCCTCGAAGATTCCTTCTGCGACAATATCCTTGTTCTCCTTCGCTCCCTTCGACTATAATGGCTCCTTTGCCCCTGATAGGCTGCATGCTTGCCTTGTTGTGTAACTCGTCATGTGTTTTTCGTTGCTGCTGCTGCTGTGCACCTTGGCCTACAGCGCATCCGAGATGCCAAGATTTTGGCTGAGGCGTTGCGTGCGCTAGTAGACAAGGAAGAAAGGTCGGCGATGTGGAGGGGCTAGACGGCTTAGTACGCCTTGGCCAGCGGCCCGATCGACTTGTAGCGATCGAATCTGACAGGAGGGGTCGTACATCATGCCCCCCCCCCCTCAATGGTGGAAATCTGATTTCTATTGGGTGAGACAGAAACGGGAGGTGTCCCATCATGGAGGTTGTTTCTGTGTAGAGCCTCGCCGCTTCGCCGCTTGCGTCTTGCCATGACTTGTGCGTGGGTTTAGTTATGGTTTATATTTGTCGGGGAAAGAGGAGGAAGGTATTCACGAATATACAGGATCGTGTCGCTTAGCTCTGCGGCGATCAGTTATCCCTCCACAGGAGTAGTCGTAGAAAAGAAGAAAAGAACAATCGGTGATCGCCCAAGTGTCCGCATGACGGCTTGGATGTATTTCTTGTGTTCCGGGGCTGACTTCAACCAGATGGGCGCAGTCCACCAGCGATGGGGAAGAGGAGAAAGGAGTGGCAATGGCCTCTCTCAGCTGCAGAGACTTCGTATTAGTCGCTTTTGTCAAAATTCTGTTGTGGGCAATTCTCAGTTTTTCTTGGTAGATATCGTAGATCTTGCTTGCTCCCTCGACTGTTTGTCCGGAATTTCTTTTTTACCTCAATTTCGTCGGGCCTGCGCAGCCCGCCTGCATTCCTTGAGAACCCCAACTGGCTCGGCTAGGCGTTGTTGGTTCTTTCGAACGGGAGAGTGTTTTGTGTTTTCTCGGCGGCTTGGAGTCTCTCTCTTCCTCTATTGTCAAAGAGAAGTGTCATAAATTCGGTATTATTCGTACGGAATCTGCTTTCTTTCGTAACCGGCTGCCGGCCGGCAGCTTGCGCTGATTGGTCACGTGAGAACGGTGTCTAGTATTTTGTATTCTGCACGTTGTAGCTGCTTTGGACGCATGACGTTGTGCGTGTGATGATCGATGACAGTTGAGCTCCAGCGGTTGGTGCAGCGTCCGCGGCTAGAGACGCCCGGAGGGACACAGACAGGCAGGGTTACGGTTACGAAAAATTCTGCTGTTTTGTCCAGGGATTAGTTATTGGTAGCTTGCTGTCCGTGTTGTACCCTCCTCGTATGAGTCGATTCGGTTTTAGTGTCTCATTCTCGTGCGAAATATAGACCGACCGTCCGCGGCGCCCTGCCCTGCCGTGACACGAAAGAGCCTAGTTTAAGCTCTTGAAACCGTCGCCGCACAACCTGCAGGAGGTACTAGTAGGTGTCACGATGTACTTCGATAGTTACGGATTTGATAGTTGTCGCTCGATCTCTCTCTTGAGATCTTCCATGTGTTTTTTCTTTGTTTTGTATCTCCGGCATCAATCCATCCATCCATCCATCCATCTGCCTCAGCGGCTTGGCCATTTTTTCCTTTTTGTAGGCACGCAGGGGGACGGTTGGGTTGAGTACGAACTGCCCAGGTCGTTTGATCGCGTGTCCGCAGAGTCGTAGGGGGAGTTGAGAAAAAGAGGGTACCACGCGGATGGGGGGCTGGGAAGAGGGGGGGGGGGGGCACCACTCGGAGAAAAGTTTGCGTTGAGTGAAAGCTGCTGTTGAGTGTGATTGTATTTGTCGGACCTCTGAAGAGGTGGCTGGTGTGCGCTTGCCGGGCACCGGCTCCGTTGTTGGTCTGATCCTGTTGAGGTTGCCTTGGTTTCGCCGCGTTTTCTCTTCGGCCTTTTGACTTTGACCCATGTCTCCCCCATCCGAAAGCGACACGGGCAGGCGGCCGGCCATGTGGGTCGTTGTTCAGCTTTCTTTCGGTCAGCGGTTCGTTTTATTGTTGTCGCGGCGGCGTGCGGTTTTTTCCTGTTGTTTGGTTGGCGGCGGCATCAAGTCAAGTCATGCCAGGCCATTTCCGCCGCTGGCGCTTAGCTCCCTTGTCACAGAATATGATGCACACACGGTCAGCATAAGAAAACGTGATCCTCAGCGGCGGCATTCAACTCGCGATGATGGTGAATGAATATGCAAGATTTTTGTGTGTTGCGTACTTATCTACCTGCCTGTGATGGGTCTCGGTTCCTTGTAGGGAGTGGATGGAGTCTCTGCAAGCAGGATATGGACGGCGCGATAGCAAATAATCGAAGCAACGGTTGGTGCGTCCCATCCATGTGCCATGTGCGTAAAATTTTCGTGCGATACAGCAGTCTGGGCGCAATTCCATCTCTGGTACGTCTCCCGGCAATGTTCGATGCGCCAGCCGGGCTTACACAGACAAGAAAACCAAGGACACCCACTCGATGCCTGTTTGTTCTCCGCCTTCCCCACCTCGGTGCGTGCCTTCCTTCCTTTTCTAACCAGAGGAAAGTGATTCGGCAGTCTCACTTCAGGACAGTTTTGCCCTGTTCACGCCAAAATTCATGACAATTTTTTCCCGCCAGAAGGTATCGTACCCGCCAATTTGCGAGTAAGGTTACGGTTCCGAGAGGGTTCAACCTGGACCGCTGATGCGACCGGTTCATCATGTATGCGCTCTGTTGTACGTACAGCAGTGCCGCCCTTGACAGGTCAATGACCCTGTATCTCCGCCACGGAGTTAAATCACGCAACACACAGCGCGTATCGCACGGCGTCGCTCGTGTATGTTTGGCTCAAACCTAAGGCGGTTCTTCTACTGATCACGATCCGATGGTCGCGTCGACGAATGCCCGCACACGCTTCCCTCCCCATCATCGATCAATCGAAGAGAAGGTATATTACACGGGTATTGACTTTCTTGCCTCCTTCATCGTGGTTTCCACCTCTGTGCCTCCCCCACCAACGGACAAGAAGGTTGTGAAATCCTTCCTATTCAGGTTGTTGGTTCGAGGCTATGTGTACCGCATGTTCCCTGAATAAGAAAGGCCCGCCGACGTTGACGCTTACAATTAGTTATGGAAACCTCGTTTGCACACAGCATGCATGCCTAGCGTAGATCACTCTTGCCTCCCCTATTTTCTTTCGACGCCTGTTCACCCAAAAGTTCACCATTATTCGATAAAACCACATGGGGCCCGGGTGCTCAGATCGCTACATACGCGTACAAAAGAATGCGCCATGCCACCACCACCTGAGAACCTGAGAGTTAAGCACTCAGTTTCAGAAAGCCCTCGTGACTTCCGAAGTTCGCCATGGGAAACAGGTGTTACTTTGACAACCCTACATAAAAATACTGATGGTGCTGCTAAATGATGGCTTACTTCACAGAAAATAAAAGAAACACAAGAAAGGACCCAGGCAACAAGAGCCAATTACCTTCAAGTGGTGGCTGCTTCTTCTGAACGCACACATCTTCTGAGCGATCAGCCACGCAGCTTGCACACACATGGGACACGCATCGGTATGCCAAATATCCCCCCTCGCTTTTTCCTGTTTTCTACCGTCTACATGGTATATGTCTTCCCCAAATACAAGCAGAACAAAAGAGCCAGAGAACGTGTTTCGCTTTGATCAACACTCAACATCAACCTTGATGCAACAAGAGACAGACTACCCTTTTCCTGGTGTGCGCAAGCCCCTCATAACTTGGCAGCGATTCGGCTGCCGTGTACAAGATGCCAAACTCACCAACCAATTCGAAAAGTACAAGGGGGGGCGGCGACATATTCGGCTGAGGCTCCAAGACACCACGCAGTACCTCTTCCTTCTCTGGTGGGAACATGTCACAGTTGTCCGATCCGATCCGATCCGATCCCATATCATGGTTTCAGACTGTCCTCAGCTCGAACGCAGCCCTTGTAGCTCCAGATGGTGGTATTCTAGTCGTCCTTTGTGCTTGTGGTCGTTCTCGCGTAGCTCTAGATATTTTACAAGGTTTCACCCCGAGATGCCGGCAGCAGACAGATCCACACACACGTCGACGATGAGACAAACATACATACATACAAACAGACAGACAGACAGGCAGACATACAGTTAGGCAGATAATAGAGGCAGGTTGAGAGCGGTGTGAGGATGAAAGTACCCCACAGCGGCGACGCAATCGACTCATCACGCAGGCATGCTGGCGCAGGAAGGAGCACATCCAACACAAAAAGAGACAAGTCGTTATCGTTGAGCCCGCCAGGGTGACCATATTATAGTATAGTTGCTCTCACGACAGCACACCACACAGGCTAGATATCAGCTAGGCTTCCGCTACTACAGCATCAGCTGAAGCACTCACCAACGCACATCCAACACAAGCACAATCGTTCAGCCGACAAACGTTGCACTTCCTGCGAAACATTAACATTGCACCAACCGACAAAATGACACCCTACAGCAGTTGTGTGCGCCCTCTGGACTTGCGTACCTGCATCTTCTGCTGCGTATTTCTTTCCGCTGCCGCCCTGGCATCTTCCAGCGCCTGCGCCTGCTTCTCTGCTACCGACCTCGCCCTCTCGCGATCTAGCACGGCCCGTCGGTCTGGCCTGTTGGCGTCGTCCAGCGATCTCTTACTGCAGGTCGAAAAAAGGCACAAACACGCCCCGTAGCGCAGCAAACACCGAACATGACATGTGACAGTGCGGTCCACACCCAAAAATGCGGCAGACACAAGGCGATACAGCAGTATCGAATGCGATAGATCATCCAAACGACGCTCGCGGTGCTGTGAATCTGTTGACCACAAGCATCGCACACCGGTCCGAGGTCAGTACACAAACCTCGACCCTTCTCGCGGTGAACAGCAAGGCAAGCTTTGCAGAGAGAAGAGAGGCAACATCTGTGGTCTCCTTGCTGTGTAGCCCCGGCTGGTGCGTCCAAGCACACCGAAAGGTGCAAACCTGGCGTCCAGAATGAACAGGATGGGATTGCCAACATGCACCCAACATGGCTCAAAGCGTCCTAGGAGGACATGTTCGAGCAGAAAATATTGTGCAGTGAATGGGGGCCTACGACGGGAGTCGTTGTCAAGAAAAGAGACCCGCCTGCGTACCATCGCCCCTTCCAAATGGTCCAACCGCGAAGGCATGGAAAACAAGGGAACGCTGCCCTCTTTCTCTCTGCTCACTTTCGCCATTTCCAATAACGCCTCTTGACGGCGTCCTTGCAGTTGTACCACACGATCACGAGAAAAATCGCAGTCCATCCGTACCGCGCCAGGACGTCAGCCACGAAGCTCACCAGCCTGTCGCTTGCCTCTTTCACGGAGTCCACCCCCTCCACCCACCCTCCTCCGCTGCCTGACGGCACCCCTACGTCGTCAGCGTCGGCACCAGCGGAAGCAGAGCCAACCATTGCATCGGCTACGGTGGTAGTCATGCGGCCGTTGATGGTCAAGAGCGGTGCTGGCGAAGTCTCGCCGCCTGCTGCCTCGAACCTGTAGACTGCCGTGCGTCCGTTGGACTCGACTACCGTGAAACTGCGGGAAGAGGAGATACAGCCGCCGGAGGAGTAGACTTTTTGAAATTATGATGCAGATTATCGAGGAAATCCCAAGAGCTGCTTCGTTAACTTAGCGGACGTACAAAACGTGTCGCTGCTGTCTGTAGCTATTCGTAGAGACGGCGTGCGAGTCCTACACCATTAAAACCTCTTGAAAAGTTTAGTAAGTAGTACATCCACAAGGTCGAATAGCATGACCGCTGCGGGATATTTATCACACCCGTGAGGATATTCTTCGTCCAGAACCTGCTGACACTGAAGTCACCGTAATGGCGACACTGCTGCTAGCGTGGTTGCCCCACAATAGCCACAACAGAGCAAGAACCAATGCAATCGATGTAGTGCATGCCAGATGTCATCAAAGCTTTTCCTGCATGACATCACCAGGGAGAGAGTCGTGGTGAGCATAAGGGATGTCGTGTGTGTCATCCGTTCCGCCGGGGGACGAATAAGGAAAAAAACAAAAAATCTAGCAACCAAGAGAAAGAGGAAAAAAGGGTCAAGACGATGGGGACGGCCATGCGGCCTTACGGTTTTCCCCCTGACAGAATCACATTTGCATTAGATTACCCGTGGAACACAATGGGGGTGTTCTGGGTCCGCGTAATCCTGCGGAGAAAATCATCATCCCGATCCCCGTCGATCGATTCGTTTTCAGAGCACGATCGGTCCGTGTGAAAAACGGCGACGATGCCGACAAACGTCGGCGTCGGAACCCTTTCGCCGGGAGGATTTCCGAAAACGATTCATTGATTGGGAGACTCTTGTTGTGGAGTACAGCAGTAATCGGGCTTCGAAAATCTGTCCAAGAGGTACATTTTCTGATGCAACCTACTCCGACACTCCGAAGTCAATGGATCATTTTGCTGGTTTCTCTCGAGTTTTGCCTGCAACCAGCAGTGCTTCTTTTCGGGCAACGGTTGGGCGAGCGCCGACTACCACAGTACTGCTGTACCGAAGCCGTTCCGAGCAGTATTATACATCCGTGAAGCCGCATACATCGTCATAGGGACGGCACAAGAAATCAGATTGTTCCGCAGGAAACAGAAACGGCGAACGGCAATCCTCTTGCAAAAAAAAACAACCTGGTCGCACTCACCGCACAACACTCGGGTGCACAGGGAAATCCGTCAGAATAACTCACGCGTCCGAGCCGCTCTGACCACGGACATGGCTCGCTGAGGCGTCCGAGGCAACCGTAAAGATGGGGCTCCGTGGTGCCACAGTTGAACTTTGAGGTACCTGACAGAATTCACGAACTCCCGTTTTATTATTTTTGTTGTTGGTGTTCCCTCCGCTGCAGGCTGGTATTCGACCTCCAACCCCAAACCATACCCAGCAGACCAGCACTCTTCGACGCTCTTCACGCGCCTTGTCGCAGACACACAGGCATATATACCCTTGACACATAAACCACCATGAAGCTGACTGTGGCAATTGTTGCGGCCCTGTCCGCACGCGAATCCCTGGCGTTCGTGCCGTCGTTCAACCCTGTAAGATCCACGTCAAGTACGGCCGCTGCCAAGGGCAACATGTGCACGGTGCGCATGGCAGCGGGCGCGGACCAAGGAGCAAGCGAGATGAGCTCGGTCTCGATGGGCCGCAAGCAGATGCTGCAGTCCGCTGCTGCGGTTGCGTTTGGGGCGGCCTTTGTCTCGGCGGACCCGTCCCAATCCTTCGCCGACAGCTCGGTCGACTACAAGAAGGCAAGTTGTAAGAACAACAACAACAGCCGCCGGCAGTGCTGGAGGAACTCAACCCGCTTCTTGCCATGTCTCCCTACGACGGCTCGCATTGCCTTTGTGAATCAAGGGGCAGCAGCTGCTGTCGGCCGTAGAGGAGAGAGGGATCCCCGTCCTGTGTTGAGGAGGCATCGCAAGCTGTTAGATATCGCGGGTGTTGTTGCTGCACATGCGGTCAACGATCATGCACCACACAGAACACGGAACAGACGCCAAGCGCGCTTGCGGAGCAATCTTTTTGGCATGCAAGGCAGCGTGTTACGGACAACAGGTTTTGCGGATGAATACATAGAAGGGGCGCGTGTTGTACACGCGGGTTTGTGGAGCAGAGAGGCAGGTCCTGAGACGCTGGCGTCTGAAAGGTCAAGATATCAGAGGTGACCGTGTCTAAAATATTATGTGGCCGTTGGCGGGTCTCTTCAACATCTAGTTCAAGTGGTCCGATCATCCGATCGATGCGATCAGATGATCACATGTTAGGATCTTATCCCGCCGCAGTCACAAGTTAGATGTCAGCAAGATGTCAGACTGTTGTACGCATAATCGATGCACGTGTGTGCATGTTACACGTATCTATTCGTAGTCGAGACACAGGTGATACTGAAAGCAAAGTTGGTGCCCTTCTTTCTAAGAGGCAACATCAACACCGTCCGTGCCCCTCTGCCACCTGCAACTAGATAACATGTCTCGAATGGGTACAAGTCTTTCTGTGGTTGTATTTATGTATTTATGGTTCCCAGTAACATGTCAAACCTGACGAACTTCGGTGCTATTTTCGCTGTGCATGGTGCTTCCGCCCTTGCGACAATGCAACCTTGTTGTTGTTGTTGTTGTTGTTGTTGTTGTTGTTGTTGTTGTCTTCACCCTAGGTCCGGGCGGATATCGAGGGCATCATCGACAAGGATGCCAGCAAGGGGCCCACTCTAGTCAGGCGAGAGTACGAAACATAGTACGAAGTAGGTTATAGCTATGCTAGCAGGAGCGAAGTGTGGAGGCATAGTGTAGAGATCACCGCCTCATTTCGTACCATGAACTACACATACTCTGTATGCATGCGGCGGTACTCCTGTCACAGGGGACACACCAACGAGGGGTTAGATTTGTTTTGTTATGTATCTTGCGAGACCACTCCAAGAGTTCAGAAAAAGTGTTTCGTGTGCCTGTTTCTCGTGAGACTCAAGCTCGCAACAGCAGTGTTATTCTATTTGTTTATTTGTTTATTTATTTATTTTTCTCCCATCATTGGACTCTGTCGTGTGCCCCTCTTGCCCCTATCTTCCACTTCTACTGGCTAGACGACCCAACCGGGGTCACACAGGAGGGGGGGGTTGGACCCCCTCCTGCGGTTCCTGCCTGAGATATTTTTATCGCGAGAAGGGTACAGCAATCCCTTCCCTCGCGACTTACGAAGTCGATTATGGTTTACTAACAACGAGCTTTGCAGCGCGTCGCTATGTGTGGCAACCGTCCATGCCTTACAAGGTCGTGTTGTAGTTTCCGTGTCGTCGGAAGTACCTATTAACCTCTACCACTAACCTCTACCACTACATGTCATGTACAAACGCTCTGGACTACTGTGCTCCTTTGTGGGTATCATGCAATCTTGCTCGTTTTTGGGCTGGTCACGTCCATGCCCTTCCCTTTGTGGTTGGTCACACACTTCTGTGTAGGCATCATGTCATCTTGCTCGTATTTGGGCCGGACATGTTCGTGTCCTTCTTTCTTGGTTGGTCACACTTCCATGCCCTTCTCATTTTTTTGCTGTTGTTGTCCTTTGTCTTGCCTTGGCCAGGCTGGCGTGGCACTCCTCTGGAACTTACGACAAGATCTCCAAGACGGGTGGCTCCCAGGGTGGCACCATGCGTTTCGCGCAGGAGCTCGCGGACGGCGCCAACGCTGGTCTCAACAACGCCGTGGGGTAAGCACTTTAGAAGTACATGAAGATACACACCGGTCGCCCCGGTGATCTAGTGGGTAGCCTCGTAGCCTGCTAAGGGCCAGGTCATGGGTTCGAGTCCCGACAGAGTGAGATTTTTCTCGCTAATTAAGTCTTGGTCTCCGTTGGACGCGACGCGCTGCAAAGCTCGTTGTTAGTAAGCTTGATCGACTTCATAAATCGCGAGGGAAGAGATTGCCGTACCCTTCTCGCGATAAAAATATCTCAGGCAGGAACCGCAGGAGGGGGTCCAACCCCCCCCTCCTATGTGGCCCCGGTTGGGTCGTCTAGCTGGTAGAAGTGGAGGATAGGGGCCAGAAGGGCAGACGACATAATCCAATGATGGGAAAAAAAAAAAAAACTATGTTACACATACCCTATTTAGCGAAGGAAGTACACTATTTAGCAACCGGTTTTTCGAACGAGAAAGTTATGCTTGAATATTGCCAGTACTTCACAAGGTCAAGCCCCTCTCCAAGACATCACATACCCAGACAGGCTCGGAAATGAGAATGAGATGGGAGACGCCGTGAAGCCTGGCAGCTAGATGTGTTGCGTTGGTTGACGACATCACTGGAGCTGCCTTGCTCGTGCCTCCTAGCCTTCGACCGTTGTTCTGACTCAAACGGTCGACTGTAACAACTGCAACCATTACCATCGAGATTGTTGTCGATTTTTCCTTTTTTACACGCCGAGGTGTGCCATCTTCCAACCCCTGTGCATCTATGTGTTGTTTTGGTTGAACAGGTGGCTGGAGCCCATCAAGAAGAAGTACCCCGCGATCTCCTACGGAGATCTGTACACGCTGGCGGGGGTTACCGCGATTGAGAAGATGGGTGGCCCTACCATCAAGTGAGAGTTCCGTGCACGAAGAGACGCCGTAAAACAAACAAGTATTGCGGTTGATTTTGTGGTTTTGCCCCGCCCCTACAGTTGAAAAGGCGGGAAGGGATATATCGTTAGGATAGGCAGACTAGGGAAGACATTTTTGAGCCACCCTTGGCAAAGTAGAAAGGAACGATTGCCCATCGGCGATCGGTCCTGNNNNCCCCCCCCCCCCCCCCTTCAGCTGTGTACCTTCTTCCCTATAGGCTGATCGCTGTTTGAGTGTTGGGCAATTGACAAAATGGGGTATACCCGGCGTGTTTGGGCACAAAATCACAAAATGGGGTATACTTTTTCTCGGTGTGGGGCGCAACGCCTGACGCCGGGTAGGCGCCTTAAAACCACCTTTCTAGCGCTTCAGCCCCATGCGCCAGGTCCTTAGAAAGGACGCCCAACTTTTTTTTTTTGCTTTTCACTCACAGGAACAGGATTAACCAGGGCCTGGAAGAGGGGAGCTTGTTGGAGGACCCCATTTTGTTCACAAAACCGCGGGGAGCACCCCCCGGTCTTCTAAGAGTTTATCTAGTACCCCATTATGTTCAAGGCATACCCCTTGTTGTTCAGTGGTGACGATCTTCCTGCTGACTGTCAAAATGGCAACCAACAACCAACCGCAGACCACCAGACCACCATACCCCAACATCTTCTGTCTTGTTGCCGCGTCGCAGACCGCGAAACCTGCGTGTTGCATCGCAGACCGCCACACCCCAACATCTTCTGTCGCCACTCCTACGGTGGTCTGCTGTTGATTGTTGGTTGCCATCTTGACATTCTGCAGGAGCGTCACCACCGAACAAAATGGGATACTAATAGATAAATTTGTAGCAGACCGGGGGGTGCACCCCGCGGTTTCGTGAGCAAAATGGGGTCCTCCAACAAGCTCCCCTCTTCCAGACCCTAGTTAACCCTGTTCCTGTGAGTGAAAAGCAAAACAGGAAATTGGGTGTCCTTTCTAAGGACCTCGCGCATGGGGCTGAAGCGCTAGAAGGCGGTTTAAAGGCGCCTACCCGGCGTCAGGCGTTGCGCCCCACACCGAGAAAAAGTATACCCCATTTCGTGCCCAAACAAGCGGGGAATGTACCCCGTTTTGTCAATTGCCCTTGAATTTTTCTTCGATAAGTGGATTGCCGCCAAACCTTCCGGTTGGAAGCTTCCAGCGCTTTTTACCTTGTTTATGATAAGGAATCTAACCCACTATGGCATGGCATTGCATGATTCCCATGTGATCCTCTCTTCTCTCTTTCTCTCTTTCTCTTTTGCTCCTGTGGCGGTTGCGGCGATGCTATAGGTGGAGGTCAGGCCGCAAGGACGATGATGTAGCAGCTGTACCTCCCGGAGGCCGCCTCCCGGCTGCAGACAAGGGAAACCCCATGGCCACCGCTAAGGGGCTGCGGGACGTTTTCTACCGCATGGGCTTCAACGATAGGGAGATCGTGGCCTTGTCCGGCGCACATGCCCTCGGAAGGTACAGATTTCTTTTTACTTACGGTTCATTCCTGTTGTTGGTGGTGCGTCCATTGGTGTGGTTCACTCCACGCCGAAAGAGTTATGTTTCGTTGGTGATGTGGTTTCATGATTGGACGTTTCGACTGCTTCTCTGGGCGACCTTCACCTCTGTGGTGAATATGTGGGATGCGTTGCACCAATTGCCGTGTTGGTGTCGGTTCCGGCTCCTACCCGCAAAGAGCAGCACACTGCTCCAACTCTATCGCTGCCATGGCCACGCGCTTTTTTTGTAGCATATACACGAGCCACTTCGAGGGCAATCGCCATCCACGCAAATGCACGCCTGAGACAGCTAGCTGACGTTGGTCTAGCCTATGGTGTAGTATTTGCGTTGGGTAAGCTTCTTGTGCTACTGTTGCCTTCACCGTCCTTGTCTCGGGTTTGCCCTCCTTTCCGTCCCTTGGCGTCGCACACGACACTGGTTGCGCAGGTGCCACATTGACGCCTCCGGCTACGACGGTCCGTGGACGCCCACCCCCAACCTCTTCACCGGAGCCACCTACTTCAAGCTCCTCAAGTCCATCCCGTGGTCTGAACGCAAGGTAAATGCAGCATTAGGTGACCCGAATACAGCGGCAACTTCCAACAGCGGAATTGCCGGCACAGCGGACAGCGGCATCGAAATGTTTTGTCGCAACTCTCAACCCGGATGCGAAGGGCTGATGGATTGATTGAGCGTTTCGATTCGTTGTGTTCTGTTTCTTTGTCTCTCTCCGGGGCGGGGTTGTCAAGTGGAGTCCTTGTGATTCAACTGGATGGTACGGTCCACGCACAACAAGTTGTCCATTCTCTCGGTGAAGTGAAGGCATGGTTGGCACATGGGACGAATGTGCAGGGGGCAACCATTGCTGCCTGTTTCGCATCGCTTCCACGATAGAGCCAAACCTCCACCCTCGTGGATACCTATCCGCGCTCTACGGCATAAGCATGCGTAGACACGACCACACAGCAGTGAGGAGAGAACAAGCGTGGATAAGGTAAAATACTTTTGCGGTGCTGTGTGTGTGCAATTCGTTTTTCCGGTCACATCCTGTGCCAGCCACTCTCATTGCGCTGACAAGTGTCGCTGCTTTGTCACAGGTGCTGCTACTACTGTGCTGCATGGCACGGCTGTTTCGCTACCGCGCGACCGTTTGACCTTCGCGGGCTGCTGCGGTGCGCTGCTGCTGTACCACTTCTGACGCCGGTATCTGAACCCCTGTCCCAACTGTATTACAGAACTTCACACCATTCCAGTACCAAGACCCCAGTGGCACCCTGATGATGCTCCCGAGCGACATCGTCCTGCTGGAAGACAAGAGCTTTAAGAAGTGAGTACATTGTACAGTTAGCGCGCGCGATTAAGAAACAACACTTTAAGAAATTGAGGCTCAGATTTGACGATAGCCAAGAAAATCTACACAAATCTGCCGTGGATTCTGCACTAAAGTCTACTTCTATAATGACCCATGCTCGACGTTGACGACGAGAAAAGAAGTTGAGCCTCGACCCCTAATTGGCGGTCCTTAAGCGCAGACGCTAACTGTGTGGGAGTTGCCGGCCATCTTGTGTGAGGCCGTGAGCCACACTGTAGCATAGGGCCAAGGTGATCTTCTCATGCTCTACCGTTGTGTATGGATGGCTGCCCTGCTGCCGTTGCAAGTGGGACACGAAGCTTGCAAGGACAAGAGACGGTTATACTCTGTGCTGCCTCGCGCTATTCAGGCACTTCGGCTCATAGGGTTGCTTTTTCTTCGTTTTTCGCTCTCGATAGGACTGAGAGTTGGAACGTGGGCGTCGTACATGCGTATGTATCTTCCTGCACTCAGCAGGGACTTTAACTGGAAAAACACAGAATCTCAGGATTAATTAGCACCTGGACCAGTTGTAAACGACGCGAGGACTGACGGGTTGGAGGCATGTTTGGCATAAGGCTCTTGGACATGGTCGCCGATGGATGACGCAGAACACTTTCGCTCCGCGCTGGGGGGATATTTCTGTCGCATTGTTCGCTGGTATGAAAGACGGACGGACCCATGCTACCGGTGCTTTTGTCTAAGCGATACAGTCTCGTAAGCGCACGGTTGGGGCCATTGGTAGTGCTCGTGGTGAAAATATTCGTCGTTCAATCCATGTGTGATTCTGCTTGAAACTATTTGTGACGTCGCCTGCATACATTTTGTTCTGTTTTTTTTTTTTGTGAAATTTGATCCTCCAGGTACGTGGACATGTACGCGGAAAACGACAAGCTGTTCTTCGAAGACTTCTCCAAGGCCTTCTCCACCTTGCTCGAGCTAGGCACCAAGGATCTTGTCGAGGAATCCGCCTGAGCATCTCTTATGCATAGGGAGGAAACATCACACAGCTCTCGTGCCTTGATCGGATTGACCACGACCGGCTTACCACACAGATGACTGGCTAACGTTGGTCGATGTCATATAATTCATCGTAGTTTTGTGTTTGCTCTTGTTTTTGAAACCCAAGCCACGAGTCGAGAGACCCATGTCTCGAAGCAGCGGCGTAGTTTAGATAGCTGGGTGAAGGTAGGGTAGATACAATGTAGATTTAGATGTGCCGTTTCTTTTGTTGCATCAAAGCGATGGTGTGTGTCGTTCCCTTTCGAAAGATCAGGCTGGCTGCGGAAGCTCGGGGCGCTTGTTTCATGCTTACGTATGATATGCGTACTCTTGTGTCAACGGAAGGTGAAGCCTCTTTGAATCGGCACGGTTGTGGATGCTTGTTCGCTTCAAAACCAAGAAAGAAAGTAAACCCTGCCGAATGTGCGTGCACGGTGTCCTGGGTAACGTGCGTGCATAGTATGCATACCTTCTGCTCACATGACACCGAGGGACGAGACTACCGTACACAACACACTGGCTGGTTGTTGACGCGATGACTCTTCAGGAATGGCTGACGAGGCCGTGCCCAACTCTTGAGATGCACACATGGGGAGTCAGCCTTACGGGACACCCATTTACGCTATGACATGACATTCGTGCGCTCCAACCACATGCCGCGAGTAAAGTTATGCTGTATCATACCAGAACGTGTTGCTATTTCTAATCAGCAAGAGGGGTTCAGGGATCGCAGCCAGCGGTACATCTGCTCCTTAGCGTCCCAGCAACCAACCCATAGCTCAATGGTAGCACCCACACAAGTACCTACCACGGGACGGGATTTGGCCGCCACAAGATATAGACGTCGACGCTCTCCCAGACAGCCATCTACTATGTACGAAAGAAGAAAAATTGAAGTCCCCGTTAACGTGCGGGAAATCCCCTGGCCCGCCACCTGACGACGGACAAGCCATCCCTCAACGGCAGCATCAGGACCTCCACCCGACCGTCCTCCTTGACGCGCTTGTTGAACCGGTCCAAAGACTCTGCGATCTTCATCCTCCTAGGTGTGGGCGCGAGCACGCCCGCTCCGATTGCCCTTGCTCCCTCCCCCCCCATCGACGGCGGCGAAATTTCTTCGCCCTCCCTTGTCGTGGCTGTCCCCATGGCCTCGGCGAATGGCACCAGCTCGTGGAAGAGGACGTTGTCGGCTAACAGCAATCCCGTAGGGGCTAACAAGGGCCGTGGCCCGGAGAGCACCTTCTCAAAGTAGTCCCAGTACCTTGGTTTTTGCGAAATGGTAGAAAAATGAAGAGGGAGGTGTGAAGGAGGGTGTCGCGTGCAAGGCCGGAGACGTGGCGTGTGCTTTGGAAGCAAACGAAGTCGTAGGCTCAGGGAAGAGAGGGGAGGCGTAAGGGGATGAACTAAATACGCTCAGATTTCACCCTTGCCGTCTGAGACCAAACCCATGGCAGTTCGAATGGTGGGAAATGGGCTGCCTCTTGGGCTACGAGAAACAAGCGGGATAGCGGCGCCAACATGTGTCTTGACCATGTGAGTGCAGGTCGCGGCAGAGGGCACTTCAAAGCAGCAGCAAAATATGTTTGTTGAGTCGGAACGATGCCTATCGATGCGTTCGAGAAAGGAGAGCAGCAGTCACGGCAGCGGTTTGTTTCTTCCCCACCACCGGTGTGTTTTCGAAACACTGACCAGTCGACATTGGGTCGAGTAACCGAGCACCGCCACGGACAACATCGTCATCACCAACCACGACCACACCACGCTACACAGCAAACCAAAAAGAAGCAGCGGCAGCAACAACCGCGTCAACCAGCGCATGATCACACCAACACTAACATCAACAGCGGCAAACAGACCATACCTTTTTTTGTCCGCGTCGATGAAGATAATATCAAACTGCGGGGTTTCTTCATCGTCGATCAACTTCCAAGTCCAGCCAGAGAATTCACAAGAGACGAGAACAAACATCGACAAGCGAGAGAGGCGACGGCAAGCAACGGATTCGTTGTTGATCGCCGAAAACAGCATCACACAGGCAAGCGGAGAGCGGGCAAGCATGCATTTCGCCTACCAAGCAGGTTCCAATACTGTCGGAAGGGATCCGTTTCCGGGAACCACGTCGAATCCATGATGCTTCGATTCGATTCTCGACAAAAAAAAAAATCTGGAACGCCCGTCCGCTTTGGTGCGAGATTGAAGGAGACCTCACTTGCGGCTGCGCTTCTGTACTACGCAAAAAAATACCAAGGGCAGTGCTGGCTGGCCTGACATGGAAAGCCTACACCAATTGATCCCCCGGGGAGACGCTCAGGTCGGTAAGCAACACGCACTCATCCACAGCGATGTGGACATAGTATGCCTAGGCACGGGCGGTTGGCGAATGGCAACGCGGTCACCCACATACGCACGGTTTGCGCGGTCGATGCTAACAAAAACGACGCGCATACACAGAGCACAATGCCCCAGGAGTAAAACGCACCCAACTGCCTGTCCACGCATACAGTACCTGATCGATGGTGTCCATCGCCTGCCCAAGCAAGAGCCGGATCTTGTTACCGTCTCGGCTGGAAGCGAAGTGACCTCTCGCGGTCTCCGCCGCTCTCGCGTCGGACTGAGGGCCGAAAACGAACCGCAAACGGCGAAACGACCGATTGGTGAGGACCAGCATGAGAACAACGCAAGGGTGCTGAGAGCATCGCATTAGAAGGTAGTACAGACTACTGTTGTAGATGCAGTGCAAATGGAGCGATGCCACATCACACGCTGTTGAGAGTAGACAACTCAACGCCTTAGAACATACGGTCCGTTGAGTGACGGTGTCGCAATCGGAGATACCCTAAAAAAGGCAGCAACCTCGAAAAAAAAAGGGTATACTACGCTGTTGAACATTATCCAATTTGTAGTGTCAACGAGTCGAACGTACCCCTTTTTCGTCAAGAGATTCTAACTTTGGAGTATTGAGATCCCCGCCCTCGTAGCGAAACACACGCCTTCGAGGCACGGAAATCGGAGTGGCCTATAAACTAGATGGATACCAACCGCGGTAATGTTGCTGTTGGCTGACCTCCAGCGTAACGACCACCCCGTCGTCTGGCAACGCCTCAGCGAAAGCTAATGCAGAGTAGCCCGTGAAAGTGCCGATGTCCAGCACACGCTTCGCCCCGCTTAGCCTGCATATGGAAGGGCCAAGGACATGGTGGCAATTGTATTAACCCTCGTTACCCCATGGTTTCCGTTCGGCAGCTTCAACCGCCTGCCCACCATGTGCAGCTAGTTGGTGACATGTCCTGTCGACACTGACACTACTGCACTTCCAAATGCGGAACGTCAGCCAGCAATGGGATGCCGTCACCCCGAAAAGGGCTTCAACTGCTGGGGTGGACAACACCTCAATCAATCTACACGCGACAGGGAAAGGCCGGTGGCCTCAGTTGCAAATCACAATCCCATCATCTCTGGATATCTACCAGCGGTAGCATCGCAACACAAGCAACCTGGTGATGGTTATTGTGGGGGGTGATTTTAGCGCAAACTGGTTGCTCACGTGGTCAATAGCTTGAGCAGTTCCCCCTGCAGATGGCCAGATACCATGTGCGCGCCCCCCGGCTGCCCCCTTATTGGACCATGCGATGTCGCCCAGGAGAGCACGTAGATATCGCGAGGTTAATCGTGAGAAAGAAGATCTCTGGCAAGGTTACATACATTTGACAACGGAAGGCGACCACGCTCTGCGACACATCCAACTCCAAAAGCATGACATGTATGTGCAGAAGCAAGAGAGCACACGAGATGCAGCCTATTCGGAAACACGCCCGAAACCAAATCAAACTTTGCCAGGCTTTCCGTACGTTCGTACTTGTTGGTGGCTTCTCGGACGCCGGCAAGGCAAGGGGACTCCGGCTCAGAATGTCGGGACGCGTATCCCTCAAGCAAAGGCTCATTCGAAGGATCCTCTCGCTTCCGTTTTCGCTTGCCCTTGTCTCCGGTCCTTGCCACATCAACGCCCGCAACGGACACGTCTACTGAAGCCCGTGACACTTCCGCCTTGTCGTCCATTTTCACGCCACTATTTACAGGCTCCTGCCCCGGCAATGATGATGATGATGACGGTGGTGCATCTGCTCCCATACCATTTCGTCGAAAGTTTCCCATCCCACGTTCGGAGCATCAGCAGCGGGGCGGGTAAGGTCTAGGTCACTCATGGCATTCAGAGGTGGCGATGTACTCCCGACGCACCGCTGTTTAATCGAAGAACTCTCCGCATCTGCTAGTGCTACGTCACCATCCACAGCCAGAGCTTGGCAAGCCGCCCTGCAGCGGGCTGCACACTCTACCTTGCACCGACGGCACTGCGCAAAAGCTATCCCCTCAGTCGGGAGCCTGGCACACGGCTAGCGTGAGCTCGGAGCCTCCCAATGGAAACGGAGAGAAGAAGATGCGCCGCTGCAATAGATGTCCCCGTATTGGTCACAAAGTGCCTCCATCACGCCCTTCCCGCTATTTCTTGTGGCCGGTTGTGTGTTGCTGTCGTTGTGGTGACAAGAGAGGCCTACGTTGCGGTGCGACGTTATGCGCTCTCGGGCAATATTATGCGCAGCCGTATGCATACCGATTCCGTTTCGACGACTCGTTGCCCCGCAGCCCTGCTGTCGCCTGCGTGTTCCTTGGCTGCGGCCGCCATGCCGTTGTATTCTCCCGTGCCGAAAGGTTGGTATGAGTGCCAGCTCCCATCGTGTCCTGGTCGGGAATGCTGATGTTAGTCGTGTGCATGAGCCGTGGTATGTACTGCTGTAGTGTGTAGGGCCTGGGCGGGACCAAGGTTTGCCGCACAGTGCATAAGCAACCGCATGGGTTACAACATGAGTCAACATGGTGTATTGTGCAGCAGAATCGAATTGCGTTCGTGCTGGTGCCAGACGACAGCAGTATAAGTACGGCAGTAGCATGGAAACATCCCAAACGTGGACGCCAAGCTTCCTTCCACACAAGAGCCAACGAGACAACGGTGCTGTATGTACAACAGCTGCATCCTCCCCTCACATTGATTGCGGCCTCACGCTGCCACCGAACGGCCGAAACGCCGAACCCTGCCATGCCACCTCCGCAAGCAGCAGTACTTGCAAGGCGAGACGCCCAACACTAAGCACAACACTTCTTCGCATCGCCATCCTGGCGATGCAGCACGGCGTGATAGTGAGCAAGAAAAGGAGAAGGAGATGAAGGGGACCGCGCAGAGAAGGCTCCCTGCGTCAAGCCCCATGCACTTCGACCCCGGAGCAGATAACGCCTGGCGAACCAAAAATGGTCTGGTTCCCTTGGGCGGACAATTATGTCGCGTTTCCCCCGCCCGTTGTATCGCTATCACCCCTACCCGCTACGGCTACCCACCATTGCTGCTATCCACTGCTCCATTGGGCCACAGCTTGTGAGAGAGGGGGGCTTGTGAAAGAGCAAACGAGCTGCTCGACAGCATGGGAGACATTTGCGAGCTGACCGGCGATGTCGTCCGAGCTAACAAGAAGGTCCGATATTCCGCATCAGATTAGAGAGTCACACAATAGAGAGGGCGTTCTTCGGAGCGTTCCTCGTTCTTCGGTCTGGTGCATGGACAGCAGTTACGGCAGGTGCAGCTGCTGGGTGTGGGAGTGTGCGATCGATCTCTTAGTGGTCCGCCTCCCTTTGCTCATGCCGGAGGACGCGCGTGTGTGCATACATGCGTTGATCTGGTGTGCAATAAGAATAGTGGCAGAAGCCCGGCGCTCCTCGCGCAGAAGACATGCATCTCCGAATTCTTCTGACTGCGGGGATCACGACTGCTATGTATGTAATCTGTGCTGTCACCGTTGCGCAAAGCACGGCTGTGACGGCTGTGGGGTTGCATCGCCGTATCGGTCATGGACCCGGCACTCGGATCCTAGGCGTACTGTACCTACGGTATACACAAGGCGCTGTCAACGCTGTAGTCTAGATACGTCCACCACTTTGTAGTACTGCTGTAGCAGCACCTCGGTTCGACCCTCCATGCCTCAAGGCGCAGGAAGCTGGCAATACTCAGACTCCACAACCTCACACTGCTGTCCTACCCCGGGTATTCGATGCACTGCGGTTGGCCAACAGACTTTAAGTTGGGACCCGGATCAACCCTGTCTTGAATCGACTCATCCGGGAGATCCACGCGGCTCTTGGTACTACATTATGTAGTCTATTGCTGTAGGAGCTTGTTCAGCAGTACTTGCCCATTTGTCGGTAAATAAGGTTCCCGGAATATTCTCGTTATTGCTCTGGTTCTGTTGTGCACACCTCCAGCGCCAACCTAGCCTTTCACCATGCAGCAATCTAGCGCTAACGGTGCACAGCAACCTAGCCCTGCAGCAACAGCCCTACAGCCTAACCCTCACCACTCTTGCGCCGCGGCTTAGCCGAAACGGTACAGCAGCAACCTAGAACGTTAACTCGCTACAGCAACCTAGCTTTTCTCCCGTGCAGCAACCTAGCGCTGACGGTGCACAACAACCTAGCGCTGCGCACAGCAACCTAGGTAGCGCCGCGGCTTGTCGCGGCCTAGGCTTGCTTGTGGTACAGTGACCTAGCACTTTCCCAATGCCATCGGTTTGGGTCGGGTCGGTTGGCTTGGGGTTAGGGACAGGGATAGGGCTACATGGCTATATGCTAGCTTTGGTGCGGTTAGGGTTAGGGTTACAGAAACGGGTCGAACCAGCAATCGGTAGCAACGAAAAGACCATCCATCGGGGTATATTTCTTCCACCGTCCTCCCCACCCACCCACCCACCCATCAGTCGATCCTCGGGCTATTAACTGCTGTTGCATGCGGAGAAGTTTCCGAGAACTTTATTTTCTCGTCAAAGGGCTTAGCTTGTCTAACACGGTCCCTGTAGCCTATGTACTGTAGGCCGCACGTCACTATTATTATGATCAGTGCCAAGGGATTTGGCCGGCCCCAAGACGTGCACCATGTATTTGAGTGTCACATGTCTCACTGATCTTGTACGGAGCCATGGGCCTTATTTACGCGGCCTTGCACAGGGACCATGGCTGAATCAAAAGCGTAATGCATGTTTGCTACACATTCGTGTGCCGTTGGCGGCGTGGGATTAGAGCAGGGGAGCCTGCAGTAGTTAACCCATAAGCCTGATTCCAACTCCCGATCAAGTACAAGATCCTGCGCGTTCGTTCTTTTCCTGATCGATTCTGAAGCCGTCCGTCCTTCCAGCCGCCCCTCGTCACCGCCACCACTGGTCTATGCATGCACTGCTGTGTCTGCAGGCCATCGTCATGGTGGTTCTATTCGTTCTGCTGGAGATTATTCTTTTGGCTCCGCCGTACGGGAGCCTTGTGCCCATGGCCGCGGGATTCGCCCTGATGCTGGTCGTTGCGGTGGTGAGACTTGACGGAACAATCATGGTCTATTCCCGTCGGCACTTGGGTTCCACGAGCAACTTTCCCCCCTTAGCTTCGCACACCTGTACTTGTGTAGTGGTTCTGCGATACAAACCACGTCTAACTCCCATGAACATCACCGTGCAACAGCGTAGCTCGGCCAATCAGCGGTCGTAACCCAGAGAGATATGCAATGTAGATTCCCCCGCTTTCCCTCAGCGGGTGTTCGAAGCCGAAACGCCAATAGCTCGTGCGTGATACTGTCCGTGTAGTGCTTGTTGTCATCTCTCACGCGACCCCTGTCGCTGTCTTTGCGCGAACCCTGCCCCTTTTTTGGCCACGCGCGTCACGAATGGTTCTCTGGGCTCCGGGTCTACGTCCTGCAGGCGATCCTCAACCGGTACATTTGGATCCGAATGTAAGCCATCACTCCACCAGGAGAGGGCACGTTGTGTCCGTTCTGAACCCAGATGCGGTGGAGACGTCGTGGGTTTCTTTCGTAGCTGCGTTGGTCCAGCACGCAGGCAATCGAGCAAATGCAATCATACTTGCTTCCCTTGTGACGTGAAACAAATGCCTTTGTTGGTCACTTTTCACTGCAGCAGCTTTGGCCGCTTTAAAGCATAAGTACTTCCCCCGCAGTTTTTCTTCCTTGTTGGGGCGGATTCGTCGTTTCTCGTTACCCACTGTTGTCCATGTTACATGTTACTCGGAAAGCTTGGTTCGACCCACTTGCACACGTAGGATGTATACGCTTGGTTATGTTGCCCTCCTCCTGCTCCCAGCAATGTGCATAATCCATAAACAACTGAATCAGTTTCTCCTCGCTCGTTTTTTTCTTCTTGTCTGCGTGCTGCTGAAGGTTCCGCCCTATGCTCCAGCTCGCGGGAATGCCACCAGTGAAAAGGGGCACTGGGGAATGCTGCTGTTGCTGCCTCTGCCGTAAGCAGGACAACCGTCAAGTGTGTCTTGTGTCTTTAGTGTAGCAAACTGCGATGATCTCTCTAGCGTTGCTTGGTTGACGTCGTGATTCCCGAAAGGTTGGGGTATGTATGCAGTACTAGACTGTATAACGTTGTTCGTGTAGACATTTGTTCGGCAAAAGACATGTTTTTTCGATTGGCTGGCTTTGGAAAGTTGGTTTGGTTGGGATGTGTTTCTATTGTGATGTGATGAAAGAGATGAAAGATAGATTGGTTTCACATTTTTAGTCATCCTGGCGTATTCTCAATGTGTTTGGTGTGTGATGTAGATTGTATTGCTATTTCATTTTATATTCTCGGCTTGCCGTCATGTGATTCGTTTGTCTCCCGCACAACTGCCAACAGGTCCGAGCTCTCAGAGCCCTGTTTGTGTTGGTGTTGGTAGGCATCTACGCGATTACGCTATCGGCTGTGGCTCTGGAGCAGCTTGTGGGCACCACCAACGGCAGGGACCCGCACCCCTGGATGTATTTCAGGTATGGCGTACCACCTTGTTGTCGGGCGTCTGCGGATGATGCATTATCACCCCACGGTTTTGTTCTTTTGTGAGCATCATCCAGCCTTTCGCCATGACACACGGGTGCCTTCATACTTTTCGCAAGGCCTATCTTCTCCATGGTCGAGCGGTGGTTGCACGGAAGAGTGACTTTGCAACGCATGCCTTCATAGGTTTAGGGAGGGAGGGAGGGGGGCTCGAACTTCGTCATACCCTCTTTAACGCTCGAGTCACAAAGTGCGCTCGTCATCAAGCGAATTCAAAACGTTTCACGCTAGCCTGAAAAACCGTGGAAGTGATTCGATTTTATCCCGATGTTCGTCCTAGACCCCGTTCGAGCTCACAGCGCTCCACGTCCAAGCTTGAACAATGACCAAACATTAGCAGCAGCGTGTTGCCTCAGCCACAAGGGTTTCGCGCTCGTTTGCGCCATCCGTGGTCCTTGCTGTCTTTACGCTGATTTCATGTAGCGCATTCTTCCCATCTTAAAACTGTTCTCGCGTCGTCACCTTGCCGCGTCAACCAACCCTGCTTGCCGCAGCTTCCAGTTCGCGGGGGCCTTCGTCCTCCTCATCGTGTCGGCCTGGTTCGTCGACATCTTCATCATGACATACCGGGTTGTCCGATACCTGTGGGGACGTTTCACGAAAAGAGGCGATCAGGCCGCCGCCGCCGCCGCCGCCGCAACCACCGGGCAACAGAAGTTTGCGCTCCCCTTGCTGGCGTTTCCCCTGATGTGGCTGGTGGTGTTCGTGATTCTGGTCACGGTGGCTTCGGTGCAGGGCTCGAGGGACCCTGTCACGCGCACGGTGGAGGTGAGAGTTGGAGGTGGATGGTGAGGGGAACGCGGGCGAGGGGAGCCGGCCACTGCTGCTCTCGGGAGAATCTGTTCTGTTCCTCTGCTCGATACACGAGGGGGGCGTTTGGAGTTTATGCCTGATACCGTTCGGCGGCAAGTGTTATTTGTCTGCGCTTCGCAGTGCATTGGTAACGTTACCGTACCCTAGTATCATGCGATGTCAATCCCGCAGTCATGTTGTTGCTGTTGCTGTTGCTGTTGCTGTTGCTGTTGCTGTTTCCTTCACGATTCTAATCGTTTCGATCTCGGCTCAGTACCTTAGCACATCCGAAGCACTGGTCCATCTGACGCTGATGTCTTTACGTGGTCGCAGGCTAACGTTCCTAAAAGGGTGTGTACTACGAACAGTCAAAGCACAGTATATTCTTTTATGTTTCTTTTGGGAAGGACCGTAGGTTCAAAGTGTTTTTGGCATTTGATTTTCCTGGTGGTGGCCTCCACGTTTGGGCGCTTGGCTTGTTGTCCGATCTTGTCCCAGGTGCCTTTGGCGAATCTCCCAGCATGCCTGGACGGTTACAGCTTAGCCATGGTCAGCGATCTGCATGCCGGGCCTACCGTGGGCAAGAGTGAGGTAAGATGACGGCCACGCACGCTGCTACGCCATGGTCTGCTTTTGTGGTTGTGATTCAGCTGTTGGCTGCGGTGATCGACCCGTGCGGAGGGCTTTCCCCAGAGGGTTCAGGTGGGATACAGGCGAGACGCGAGCAATCTGGGGTGTACTGGTTAGGCAATCAAGCACAGTTGTGATATAGCATTTTGGGGTGTTCCGAAGCATCCTGTGGCCCGATCGATCATGTTTTTCTCCGCTCGTCTTGGGAGGTGTGGGTATTTCAAGTCGGCGTTCGTCTCGCGTACCAGATCCTCCTCAATAGGATTACAACGCAAATTTTGTCCCGCACAAAGTGTTTTGGGAAACCTTGACCTTCCAAGAGGCCCCCGCAGCACGGTTTCTCGTTTGTGCACCGGCTTGTCATGATGATGACGATTCACATCACGACATGCTCTAACGTGCATTCGCACGTTTCGCTTCGAAGTTGCACGTTTTGCGTCTAAACGTCAGCATGTACGCGAAACCCCACGGCATGGACATGTTCGGCGACGCCGCGGATACTCAAGACACCCGAAGCCCCACACGGTTGGGATGTGGGGTGTGCGCTTGTGGCACTATCTCACCATCCTGTTACACTCTAGTCTATTTTTTGGCGGCAACGCAGATGTCTAGGCACGTCGAAGCCATCAACGCGCTCGGGGCGGACGCCATCGTGATGGTCGGAGATCTCGTAGATGACCAGGTGGAGGACATCGGTTCCATCGTAGATCCTATTTCGGGCTTCAGTGCGCCGGACGGTCAATTTTTCGCTTTTGGTGAGTTCAGGACCCAACCGACTTGCCAATGTACAAACTGACAACTGTTGTGGAATTGCTGTAGGAACATACTTATGCATAGATCTACGTCGTTTGCGTTCATACTTTCCACCCTATGCGTACAAGCGTTCACGGATTTCTTGGTTCGGGTTTTGGGTTTTTGAAAGGCACTCTCATTCTGCTGCCTCGCTACTGTACTTCCTGCAGAAAACTTGTGATACGTACACGTGTGCCCGTGCTCTTTTGGAGCCTGCGTAAACCATGGCTCTGTTTTGTTGTTTTTCGGGCGGTGTGTATGTTTTGTTTTGTGTTGCGGAAGGCGTACAGTAGTACGGCCTCATCGGAGGCGTGGAAGGAGCGGAGGCGTGGAAGGTTAAGCGCGAAGAGGCGAGTGCTTCCCCTATTATTGACGTTGTGTTCAGGATTTCATCTTCGATTTGGGTCGGTTCAAGCTGTTTCGTATTGAGGCAACCGGACGATCTCCTGCAAGATTTCGGGTCGCGTTTGGACCGTTGTCGCGATAAATTTCTCGTAAATGTACCTGGAGACGTGGAACAACCATCGCTATCGTACCTTCGGTGGATCTTGTGGGGGAGAGAATTCACGCCATCTCCGAGACTTGTTGCGCCTTTGGTCCCTGAAGTGCACCCCGTTTCTTTTCCTTGGAACGGCAAGTTGTGTCATGGCTCGTTTGTCAATTAAAATATTCTACTTCCCTGTTTTTCGGTGCGTTTTTTGCGATATGTGGACGTTTGCTGCTGTAACCGAAACTTTGTTCCCAGGGAACCACGAAGAGTACACCGGACAGGCGATGAAGTGGGGAGAGTTCGTCGCCGACCGAGGCTTCACAGTGCTCAACGTGAGACATGCACCAAACCAGAGGCACCCTTTCGGTTTTTGCCTCTTAATGTTGTCGCAGCGTAGGCCGACCTTCGTGTCGAATAGGTTCCTGTGGTGCGGGTGATTGCATTGACACGCGTTCGATCACATCACAGCTGACGTGTCGTAATGCTGTACTACTATTTTGAGTCGAAGACAGAACCAAAGAAGAATATAAGGGAAAAGCGTGGAAGATATCAGCGACCGTCTTTCCTTGGCGCGCTTCCCATGCTTCTGCTGGACCCCCATGCCCCATGGCCGCAGGACACGAGGATCACCCTTCCTCTTGGTGCAGAGACCGCTAGTACTAGCAACAACGAGGGCTGCTTCTTCTACCTTGCCGGCGTGAACGACTACGAGTCGGACCCTCAGTACGGCCCTGCTCTCGACGGGAGGGATGACTCCGTAGCCACAGTGCTCTTGGCTCATGAGCCCATACAAGTGGGCAAAACTGTTTTTTTTTTTGTTGCCACCACCGCTCTTGTGTGATTTCTGCCTCCAGAGGTTTCCGGAGTGCCGGACGAATCGCATTTATTGGTGATTTGCGGTGGGACGTGTTCACTGAGAGAGAGAGAGAGAGAGAGAGAGAGAGAGAGAGAGAGAGAGAG